AAAATATCGGATATCGGCCAGAATCCGAATATGGTGCATCCCTAAATCTGATATAATCTCTGTCAGCTCTGTATTTTAGCACCGCTTTAAGCTCAGTTGTTAGATGGAGCTGATTTAATGATTCAGTTTATGTTCTGCTTTACAAAAACAGCAGCTGTTCATGTGTCGGTTAGTAATAATATATGTTTGTTGGTAGATTTTTTGTTTTTCTGATCTGTTTTTCTGGGTTGGATGTGTCGCGTCTGTGCAGGTGCGGCGTGGAGGGGGGCACGGGGGAGGTGCTGAGCGAGGCGTTGGTTGGGCTGCCGGCTGAAGTGAAGGTGATTGGCTCACAGGCCGATAATGTGGTTCCTCTGGAGGAGCTTGCTATGAGGACCATGCACCGCGTCTACCATCAGCGCCCAGCAGGTGGGGAAACCTGCTTTGTTCAGTTTGACGCCTAAATTTCTCCTTCTTTGACTTCATTGAGCTGCTGCTGTTTCCTGTACAGCCCATTGGAAAGGAGCTTATTGCTAAGCTTTCAATAGTTTGGAATTTAAGATAATCTAGTTTTTATTTTTTTTATTTAGGTAGTTAGTTGGTTGTAGTTTGATTTTCTTTGTTTCCATTTCTTCAGGTCTCTTAGATAAAACTCCCATATGACATATGGAGGTTTGGGTTTGTTTACAGTTTAAACTCCACAGCTAGAGGTAAATAAAACCAGAATAAGTCCTTAGAGTAATTGTAACTCATTTTGCTTCCTCTGGTGTGGAACCCTCAGGCCTTCATTTGCTGCCTCCCTTCGTCCTCCCAAAGAGCCTGCTTGACCTGCTGCAGTTCCCTCTGGGCCACTGCCACCGCTGCAGCCAAGCCATGTTCACCATCATCTATCCCAAAGTGTTCCCCCTCCGCGACACAGTGCTAGCAGGAGTCCACCGCCGGTCAGAGCAAACCTCCTCCTCCCTTTTCTTTTGCCTTCATGTTGTTGTTTTTCTTACTTCTCTGTGACTTTTCTGCTCCTTCCTCTGCAGAACGACGGTGAGTTTTGTGGCCTACTGCTGCTCCAGTCGCTGCCTCCGGACCTTCGACCTGCAGGGCTGACATCACTTCCTGTCTATGTGATAGTGACAGGAATAGAGAGCGTTGCGGAGTAGGATATTTTAGCGCTTTTTCACTAACGTCTTCGATCTGAGGTGACTGAACCAGCCTCTCATCATAGCGGCACTTAAACATGGACTTTTGGGAAACGTGTTTCTCGCTGCAGACACCTTTATTTCTTTGTAGAATTTTTATGAAGTGGAACCACATGTGTGTTCTGAAGAATTAGGAGATTTTTATTTAAATGTATTTCTGATGTATAATTTGAAAGCCGTCAGTCACGTTCAAAATTAGAGGGTTTTTTCTTGTATAAAAGGCTAAACTGTTCCCTTTAAATGACTGTTTCACTGCATCGGCTGGCAGGATGCTTTCAGAGTCCCAAGTTTGTTGCATCACTTCTTTTGTTTAAAGCACAGAAACTGTTTTATTCCATTTAAAGCATAACAATAGCTAATTTTAATAGATTGTCCACTAGCTGGGAACATAACAAAAAAATATAAAAGAAAAGAAAACAGTCTTGTTAAAGTTTCTCAATTTAACTGTGTTTTCTAGTGGAAACTGACTGGCCGGCTGCACCACGGTTTGGGTGTTGTAAAAGTTCCTGCTTCTTGTCTGTTTGCTCCACTAAATGTTTTTCTGATGTTTGACTTTGAATAAAGCTGGATGGCTCATTTCAATTACAGGATATGCAGATGATTGTGTAAGTTTCTTCCATGTCGTCCTATCAGAGCCTGAATGGCTTATGTTTTCTACCCCTTTGACATTTTACACTGTTTATTACCTTAAAGATACACCACAGATTTTGTGACCTAAAGAGTTAATGCATATGATTTATTTAAAATATTTCCTCAGGCAAATATAGAGAGCTTCACACTATCAATGCTTCGAGAGGGTCTCCCCTCTTGAAATACCAACTATGTAAGTTTGGAGAAGACGCACCGTTGTTGGTCAGGTCATGTGACCTGGAATAACGTATCACTTTACGGCCACAGGCTCTTATATAGTCATGGAGCTAAGGCTTTTCAAATCAGTTCAATTTTCATTTATTCAGTTTATTTCTATTTCTCCCCTGCAGCTACATTGAGCCCCCCATGGGGGCGCACCCCCATTTTGGAAACCTCTGCCCTAATACAAGATTGTTTAAGTACTTTGAAACACTAAAGAGATTTGAAAAAAAAGTTATGCTTTCAAAAATAAAAAAAAGTCTTGCTTGAGT